GTGCTAATGGAGTTCCTGCAGGGCGGGGCCCTCACAGACATCATCTCCCAAGTCAGGTGGGCAGCTGGGAAGCTGGGGCCCTGAGGGAGGCTCTCCCCACCACTTCGTTGGCAGGGGGGTTGTGGTGCCTGTCATATTGTCTGAGGGACCCCCTACCTGTTTGAGGTAACTGAGATCCAGGGTTTTCAAGGGTGTGAGAAGAGAAAAGTAGGCTGGGGCCTGAGGGGGCTGCTGGACACATTGCCTAGGAGATGTGGGGCCCTGTGCCAAGGATTCCCTTCTTCCTAGTCCAGCTGCCCTGCTAAAGTTATCATTCTCTTCCCTCGTGGCCCTGCTGACCTTGTCCAGGCTGAATGAGGAGCAGATCGCCACTGTGTGTGAGGCTGTGCTGCAGGCCCTGGCCTACCTGCATGCCCAAGGTGTCATCCACCGGGACATCAAGAGTGATTCCATCCTGCTGACCCTTGACGGCAGGGTAGGCCCTCCCTTCCTGCTCCTCCCTTGCATTTCTCCTCCCGGTCCTCCTGGCCCTCCAACTACTCCCCTTTCAACCCCAGGTGAAGCTCTCGGACTTTGGATTCTGTGCTCAGATCAGCAAAGATGTCCCTAAGAGGAAGTCCCTGGTGGGAACCCCCTACTGGATGGCTCCTGAAGTGATCTCAAGGTCTCTGTATGCCACTGAGGTAACCATTCCGCCCACCAATGAGGCTTGAAAACATGCAACTCCAAAGAGGCTTGAAAACATGCAACTCCTCTGCCCTGACGCTGTCTGACCCTAGCTGTCTTCCCTGCCCTGCTTCTGGGAGCTCAGTCACAGCCACAGTAACTCTGGTTCTCAGGTAACCTCTCAGTCAGTAACTGGCACCCTTTCTGATGAGGTGCTGTAACCTAGACTTCACTGCTGGGAGTGGATCCTCCAACTATTCCCCCTCCACCAGCTCAACAGCAAAGTGGGGTGTGGCCAGGCTTCCCCAATCATGATGCCCTCTCTCAGAGACTGGCTTATAGTTCTATCCCTATGGTCTCTGGCCACTAATGCAGGAAGTAACAAACCACTGGGCAGCTGATCAGGGGAGGAAGGAGATAGGCACAAAGACACCAAGGAGAGTTGAGACCAGCTGCTTCTTCCCATGCAGCATGCTGCCACCAAGGGCCAGGCTACAGCAGTAGGATCAGGGATATTCTTCCCCTGCAGGTGGATATCTGGTCTCTGGGCATCATGGTGATTGAGATGGTGGATGGGGAGCCCCCCTATTTCAGTGACTCCCCAGTGCAAGCCATGAAGAGGCTCCGGGACAACCCCCCACCCAAGCTGAAAAACTCTCACAAGGTAGGTTGGTGTATAACATGTGACCCCATAGACCCTATTCTTCCTGTGGTGAGAGGACCACAGCCTATAATCCCATCCTCTCCCTCCACCAAAACCAGAGGGTTCAGTATCTTTCTCACACAAAACCTGCACCTGGATGCAGAGCCCCATTTACGCATACTCCTATGTTCATTCCAGTTTCCCAGCTACAGCAGCCAAGGTGCCCTGCAGCAGGCACTGCCAGGTGCCCAGAGGCACCTATAAGCAGAGAAAGTAAAGAGTCTCTTCTTTCTAGGGCAGCGGGTGGAGGGGGACCAGAGAAGCCTAATTGAGCATCAGCCCTTCTACCCCATTTGTCGGGACCCACACCGTGATACAGTGTTCCTGTCTATCATAGCAAATGGCTTGTCCTCCCTATGGCACATTCTGACCACAGCCAGAGATAGAGCTTTCCCCTTAGAACCAGTATAAATGTGTATTATATTTAAGCCTTTCCTGCCAAATCCATCCCCAAACCTGCAGACCTTACCTGTGATCACCCCCTGCTGGCAGTTCAACACAGGACTGCCAAATGGCACTGCCATCTGGTGGTTAGAGCAAGAATTGTCCCAGAGGGTTAAAGTCCATAATCAGCAGTTTTGTGACCCCCCCCCCCCCAAAGACAGTCGGCTGGGAGGACCAACAGGAAACATCTTCCAAGACAACTGGAACCTGTACTAGTAACCCAAAATAAGCATATAGAGGATTCCTCCACATCTAATTCCCCAGAGGAGGTAGCCTTCTCTAGCAGCCTAACATCCCCAAATACCAGTTCAAAATGAACCAAGCCCTGCCTTAGAACAACAAAGAAAGCTTTTCAGGTCCCAGCTTGTACTTTTCTATTTTTCAAGTACTCCCTAATTTCTGTCCTCTTTTTTTAGTCTTCACTTAAGCCTTATGTGGCAGACAAAAGAGGCATTCTTCATCATTAGCCCATTCTGCAGATAAAACTAAGGTCTGGAGAAAATTTCAACTTGCCTGAGATCAGGGATAGATCTGGACCCAGGACTGGATTATTGATGCCAGTTCCCTGCTCCTTCTGCAGAGTCACAGGGCCTGAATGCTGAGAGCTTTGTGAAGCCAGCCAGTGGAGTGGGCTGTACATGGACCCAGCTTCCTAGAGTCCCAGACATCTTAATTCCATTGCTTGGCAACTCCCATTACAGGTGAACTGGCCACAGTTCCAGGACTGATGCATCCTCATTTACCTATTTGATAATCAAACAAGCTCTGAGCCTGGGAGGAACCAGGAAGTAAGCAATAAGAGAATTCGAAACTTTCAAACAATAATAGGCCAGGCAGTCAGGTCATTCCAAAGTAACTGTAAACCATGACTTCCCCTGGTTGCCCTGTCTCCACAGGTATCCCCAGTGCTGCGAGACTTCCTGGAGCGGATGCTGGTGCGGGATCCCCAAGAGAGAGCCACGGCCCAGGAGCTCCTGGACCACCCTTTCCTGCTGCAGACAGGGCTGCCTGAGTGCTTGGTGCCCCTGATCCAGCTCTACCGCAAGCAGACCTCCACCTGCTGAGCCCACTCTGAGTGCACCTGCCACCTGTGCCCCACAGGCAGGGGACACTGGGCATCCAGCCCTCCAGCAGGGCTTGTCTGCCTCATTCTCTCAGTATTCTCTCCAAAGATTGAATGTGAAGTTCCACCCCTATCCTATTGCCCCTTTGCCCACTGGGCCAGGCCGGACCTGCCCCCTTGGTCTCTCTCCCTCCCCAAAGAATCCCCAGTTGCCTTTGGGATGATGGAGACCCCCTCCTGCAAGATTACCCTTTGTTATTTGCACAGGGATATTTCTAAGAAACAGAGACCAGCACTCCTAGCCTCTGTGGTCAGCAAGCAGAAAAGGCTGCTGCAGACTTTTTAAAAGTAGTTGTATACTAGCATCTCAAGCCACCCAAGAGGGCCAACTTCCCATCTTCACATGGATACTTGCTGTTCTCAGCTCCACCTTCAAGCCTTGGGGTCTCAGAGGGCCACAGGGAAGGTTTTTATTACCTGAACCCTACTTCCTCCCTTGGTCTAACTTCCTAAAGGCACAGTCCTGCCTATACCTGCTCCCTGCCCCACCTGTACTGCCTCTCCCCACACAGCCTATCAGAACTGTGAAAGGCCTGCTTCTAGGCCACGGGAGGGGAAAGGGGGCATTTTCTGAGTGAAAGAGAAAGAATGGGGTTGGCGGTAAAAGTGGCCTCACTATAGGTTGGAGAGAACTTCACGTGTGAGTATGTGTATATGTAAGGGGAGGAAGGACCCAATGGCCTGTGTCCCTTCAGTTACCCGCAGCCAGCTTCAGGAGGGCTATCCGAACCTCTTCTCCCACTAGGCTCAACTCTGAAGGGACCCCCTTTCTTGGCCTGGCTCCCTACCTCTCAAGTCCCATGTTTCTTTTCAATCAGTGAATTGAGTCCACCAATGCTGGGGACTCACAAGATTCCTGAGTCTCTTCCATACTGTGGCGTCTGAGAGCCAGAGACAGGAATAGTAAGGCGATAAACTTAGTTTTCCTGTCAGCTTCATCTCAATAACCAGGTCATCAGGGACCCGTCCTTCAGACTCTAGGCTGGGACAGAAGGTATACCACCTCCTGGGGGTCCATCACATCAGAAGGGCACCCCATCTGTGTGAACCTGCTGCCCCAGCTGCCTCGTCAGACCCTTGCCCCCTTATCCTCCTTCCCTCTCCACCTTTTAGGCTATTGTGAGACAGGGAAGGCCAGGGAAGAATTCCGGGTGTCTGGACCCTTTCCAGATAATATTTTTAGATCCCTCTGTCCCCTAGTGATCAGCTTTAGGGCAAAGAAATTGCAAGGACATTTTTTTTTAAGGGTCAGAGTTTTAAAAACAAAAGGATCTTCCCTAGAAATTTTTGTGAATTGTTTGCACTTGTGCCTGTTTTAAATTAAACTGAGTGTTTAAACCTCTGGGCTTCCTGCTGTCTAGTATTGGAGCCAGGCTGTCGTGGAGCTGAATGCCCTGCAGTGGGGATCTGGTGGGCTTCCCAGCAGTCACTTGAGTCCACAGGACACCCAATTTCCCTGTTGACCTATGGGCTCTAGAAATAAAGGTACAGTAGGGCAACAGGAAGTGAAAGGCTTTTGGGACTGAAACACAAGAAACAGACAGGGTTCCTTCCCAGAGCTGACGATCCTTTCTGCATCAGCTTCTCCCTTCTTCTGCCCTGGACCTCAAATTGTTCATAGGAAGTGGCCTGAAACTGTTGCCAGTGAGAAAGCAGTCCTGTTTAATTTCTCAGATCCAAAGGAAACTGTGCAGAGAAGTGGCTAGAAATCAAGAAACCTGGATCTAGTCCTGAGTGGGAGGTTGGTAAAATTACCTTTCAACTTCTGGCTCCAACATTAATTCCATCCCTTCCTTCCAGAGATTATGCCCAACCCAGGAACTGAAACTGCTTAGCCAGGTCATGCAGACTGTCTCTCACTCCCCAGAGCATTCCCACCCAGACTGCAACCCCAGTACCACCAGCTCAGTTGGAAGCAGCCCCTGTGACCTACCTTCAGAAGCCTACCACAGTAGAATGGGCAGGGTGGGAGTTGATGAAGGCAGGAGCCTCCACAGGAAGCGAGTATACCCTTCCTCCCTCCAAAGGGAGTCAAGAGAGGGTGGTAAGGCAAAGAGAGGCCAGTTTCACAATGGAATAACACTGGGTTTATTAACTATTCTTTTGAATTCCACTAGTCTTTTTGCCACATAGTATCACTCCAGAAAGGTGTGCAAACGTCCTTTAGTCTCCCACACAGATCAGTACTGAATTCTAGTGGCCTGGGTGACTCTTCACAAAGATGAAAGCAACAAGAACAGGAAAAGCAAAATACCTAGCAAAGTCTCTTCTACAGTGGAGTGAGCTAGAGAGGACCCCAACCTCAATGGTTCCAGGCTGACAATGAGAGGACGTTGAAGGGGCTAAGTGTAGTGAGACATGGAAATTCTGCACAGAGACGGACCTGGAAAGGAGTTTGCAAGGACAGCAAGGCAGGCAGACACAGTTCAGACAGGGAGGATCTGCTGTGGCTATTTAGAAACATCACTTTCACCACTAAGCTCTTGGCCACTCCATAGAGTGAAACCCTCATGGCTGTTTACCCAATAAAGAGGGCCTGAGGTGACATTCACCCAGAAACTCAGTCAGTGGCACTGAAAAGATGATAGTACCTCTGATACAATGTGTGACCCAGGCCTCTTGCTGTTTTTAAGTCAAAATACTTGTAATCTCACACCACTGAAAGCTTCATTAATTAACACAGTTGAAAAGGGCATAAGTTGAGCAAGCAAAGATCCACAAAGAAGCAGTTTGCACTTGGGTGTCCAATTATCCCCCATGACTCACTCACTCAGGCTTTTTGGACACTCTGATTTGTTCACTCACCACCCAGACAAGAGGACTGAGAAGAGGCATATCATAGGAAAACAGTGCATAATTGGCATGTCCCAAGATTCAGAAACCATAAGGGAAAGGTCGGTAGCTCCAGTTTTGGGGGGAAGAGAACAGGAGCTCTTAAGACTGGAAGCCTTAACTTGGAGGATTAACTTGGGGGTCTTAGTGAAGGGTCTGGCGCATGCTACAGTGTGAGTTTTTTCCCCGTTGTCCCAGTGAAGTGACTTCAAGTATCCGGATTTAATTTCTACAAGAGGAAGAGGATTCCACGGGTGAATGCCCACCGAGGGAAAAGTACACAGCGGTGATGATCCCAAATAAAATCAGAAGGCTGAGCCCCGAGCCAGGACGCAGCGAGACAGATCTGCCACCAGGGGGCACCGGGAATCACGTCCAGTGTATGGGCTCGCGCGGCCTTGGAGAAGCCTGGGGGGTGGGGTAGGTGTAAGGATTAGCGTTGACACCTGCACAAGGCCCCACCTGACTCCCTTTCCACCCCTCAATCCCAGACCCAGTTTTTCAGCGTCATTATCTCTTTGACCGGTTCGTTTGGAGTTACTGATGAGAAACCTTCTGTTCCACAAAGACATCTTGAAAAGATCCCATCGTAGACAGGTGAAGAGCCTCACGCTCAGCCATGGGGGTTCACAAAAAGAGCCCCACCTGACGCCCCCCGCCCCCCCGCAGACTGGGCGCACTGACACCTTTGCTGACGCTTCCACAGTGTGCTGTAGGGCTCGGCGATTTTCCTGACCCCCTCCTCCCGCCCTTGGCTAGGCGGGTACAAAGAGTAGGAGGACGGAGGCAGGGAGGGAGGGGACAAAGGACCTAACCAGGAAAGGGCCCTTAACCATGTCTCCGCGGTGGCCTCTGACTCACTAATCTGCCCAGTAATAAAAGCTGGAAGCTGCGCGGGGCCTGCATCCCACGCGGTGGGGCAAAGGCAGGGGTCCTTGGTCTCGACTTCTACCATCCATCATCGGCCCTGCCCTCCATTAACAGCCCAGCGAGAAGCAGGAGACGTTTAACAGGCTCCTTCCAGCTCTCCCCCGAGTTTGATGTAATTTAAACCCGGACCTGCGGCTCGTGTGGGCTCCCGACTCCCGCGCGCTGCCGTTTAACGTCGCAAACACTTCAGTCAATTATCCCCCTCGCGGAGCTTCTATTTAAAGAGATATTGTCAGGTTCTTAAGCCTCGGATCAGACCTGCTGCTTTATGCTTCATATACAAAGACTCAAAACAAGAGTTCTTTGAGGGTTGGAAAAAATGCAATTAAGCAAAGCCTTCGCAACCGTTCTACCCTGCCGGAGCACCCACGTGCTGATCGCAGGGAGCTGGAAAGCGTGGGGGAGGGGAAGTGCTAAGTCCTTTCCATTTCGAGTGAATGGATATAAGGGTGGGCCAGGAGGAGTCAGGGCTTGAACTTCAAAGATGAAATTTAAATGCATCTGGAGCTGAGAAGGCAGAGTTGAGTTGGGTAGGATTTTGGGGGGGACAGTTACCCTAAACCGTGAAAGAAGTTGAATCCCAGGTCTGCCTAGGACAGAGGCAGAGGGAGTTTGTTACCTAGAAACTGGCTCAGGGGACAAGTGGTGACTAATATCAGAGGTGCTCTTGTCCCCCCTTAAAAAAAAAAAAAACTGCTTTGTAAAGATGCAGGAATTTCTATCCCAGAAAATCTTAAAGAGCCAGATCTTAATCAGCCTTGTGTCCATAAAGACTCTGGAGGCCCTGGGGCCTCCCCCTTCCCTAATTTAGGAGGAATGGAGATTTTGGTAGCTTTCACATTATCCTCAGCATCAGTAGGCAAAGAGGGCTAGGCCTTGGTTCTCCAAAGCCAATTTTGACATTTGCCTGGTTACCAGGGTATTGAGAAACTCACCAGGGGAAAGGGACCCGGCAGAAACCTAGGCAGACTGAATCTTTGGGGTTAGAGTGAGGGTCCACCTTCCTGGAAGAAGACTGAAGCTATGAACCAGTCTTCCATATCTCACCTTCTGATAATAGAAAAGGCAGGTAGTAGGAAAGGTGAGAGATCTAGACAAGGAATACCAAAGAGCACAAACGAGGGGTCCCTTCCTTCTGATGAAAGTCTTGCCTTGGCAGTGGGGACAGGTTTTCAGATGGGGGGGGGGGGACTCCAGGAACAGGCTGCTGGAAAGTAAGGGACCTGGATAAAAGGGAGAAATCCCAGTGGAGCAGACAAGAGATTAGGGGAGCAGGGCTTAGTCCTTCATCTTTATCGCTGAGCCTGCACCACCACAGCCTCTGAGCCCCCTTGCCAAGGCTTCGGCCCAGGCACCGAGTGGGGCAGAGCGTTGGCCTCTAACTCCGGACCACTATCAGGCCCTGAAGCCTCCCCGACCAGGCTAGGGATGTCTGGAGCTGTGGAACGTCGTCGCAAACCCAAGCGGCCAGAGCCGGTGCCGCCCTCCGGGTGGGGACTAAGGCCAATGGGGGCTTGCACTAAGGTTGGGGGCGCTCCCTCCAGCACCTCATGTGAGCGCCACCTCCCAGCCCCCGAAGACTGGGGTGAGTTTGGTAGGGCCATCAGGGCCCCCGCCCGTAGACGTGCTGCCTCCTCCTCGGTCATGGCACCCAGGGCCAGGCTCATGCTCCGGCCCAGCTCCGGCCGCTCGCTGCCCTGTGCCCGGTGCCGGCCCGAGCCCTTGCCTGTTGAGCCAGGCTCACCACCATGGCCGTGGCCGTGACCGTGGCCGTGGCCGCCCGCCGCTCTCGCAAAGCGCGCCAGTAGAGGCCGCGGTAGGCGGCGGGGGCTGGGTCGTCGACGCTCTGGGCTGGGTTCGGGGGCCGGGCGGCCAGGGGGACTGTCGGAGTTGGAGCCCCGGGCCGCTGCGGCGGCTGCGGCTCGGCCCCAGGGCCCGGTGAGGGCCTGCACACAGGTCCCATGGCCACGGGCTGCGGCCAGCTGTAGGGCTGTGAGGCCCGCACGATTGGTGCGGTCGAGGCGAAGGCCGAGGCGGCGGAAGGAGCGCACCAGGAACTCAAGCACAGCCCCGTGGCCGCACGCCGCCGCCCACATCACAGGGCTGTTGCCTGCTGAGTCGGCTGCCTCGGGGTCGCCGCTGAACTGTACCAGCAGCTGCACGGCGTCCAGGTGGCCTCGCTCACATGCCAGGCTGAGTGCCGTGCGTCCGCGCTCATCCCGCAGGTTCACCGCCGCACCCTGCTCAAGCAGTAGTCGCACGAAGCGCGCGCGCATCGCGGGATCTGGCAGCCCCACGGCCACCATAAGCGGCGTGCGACCCTGTTCTGCGCGGCAGTCGATGATGCTGCGGTCCAGTGCGTCCAGCACGAAACGGGCCAAGTGCACTTTGCCCGCCTGCATGGCCTCCAGGAAGGTGCGCGTACCCGCTCGGGGACATAAGTCCTTGGGCTTAAGCATGATCTCGACCGCCGCGCCGGGGCGGCCCGGCAAGTCCGCACGGGGGCGCCCCTGTTCCCGCTCCCCGCGGGGCTACAGCCCCAGCCCGCGCTCCGGTACCGCTTCCTCCGCGCGTGGGCTGCTGAGGCTGAGGTCCCGAGGTTCCTATCCCGATATATCAGCGGCTCGGGCAGCTCTTGAGCCAAACGCCTGGCGTCTCGCTGCTCCCTCTCCAGGTTTCCCCCCTGGAGGTGTGGGTTGCTCGCTACTCCGGGGTCCTCTCCTGGTCCACCACTAGACAAAAGCCCAAGCTTGGTACCCTCCTGAGTCTCCTGACGTTGTTACGATGTCCGACGCCCCCTTGGTCCCTTGTGGCTTGGAGCCACGCCACTCACCCGCACACCGGGCAGCCCCCGCTCCCCTGCTGAGACGGTGGCGCCCGCCGTGCGTGCCTGCCTCCAACCCAGGCGGGGCGCGCCGCTCCTCAAGCTGCTGGCGCCGTTCCTCCGCCTCCTCCCCTCTTGCGGGGGCCGGGCCACGCCGGGGCGCTAGCTTCTTACTTAGGGGGTTCAACGGCGCGGGAGCAGCCGGCCGCCTGGATACCTGGCTTTATAGCCTCGGGGGCCTCCATGGCAATCGCTGTCCAAGAAGCGTGCTGCACCGTCAGGGCAGAGACAGATCGGGCTGGGGAGACCGCCCCTGACCCCCACCCCTTTGTGGGCCGTAAAGTTGGGGAGCGGCTCCTCCTCCGCGCTCCCCTGGGAATGCTGCGGTGGTTGCGGGGCGAAGGCGGGGGATGTTCGCAGGGGGCCACATGCACCCGGCCGGGCCAATCCCAAAGTTGCAGTCTTCTCTCCCCGCCCTCCGCCTCCACTGGAGTCAGTGCCCTAGGCTCCTTAGAAACTGTCGGGACCGCGGCTCGTCGGGGAAAATTGAGAGCTGCCTCCAGCGGTCCTTGGTGAAAGGAAACCGTACCACAACAGGGCAGAACTAGACCATGCACAAGCTGTGGGTGGCGGCGAAAGGCAAATGAGGCACTTGTGCTGCGGACGCGGAATGGGGGAGTTCAGTGTGGCTGGGAACTGCCACCCGAAGTGCAGCGGATCACGCCGTCACACACAATTGTGCCTCCCGCACAGGCTCACTTGGAGCAGGGAGGGGGGCGCGCTCTCCAATTTCAGACGTCTCCAACCTTGACAAACGCTCCCGCGTGCCAGCTCCCAGTGGCTGCAGCGAAGCAGGCAGGGCGTAGACTCCGTGGCAGTGGCGTCCCAGGGCAGAAGCCCTAGGACCTGAGAGTGTTGCAGTCGCGTTAGGACTCCTCAGCATTACCTCCCAGCTCCTCCAGCACCTGCCGCCACCCGCAGAAAGCGAGAAACACAAGCACAGGATTCTGGCCCTGACTCTAACTGACCTCTAAGGAAAAGAGGAGATCATGAGATCTATCTTCCATTAGATACGCGGAAAAACTGCCCCATCTCCTCTCATTCTGCCCACTACTGCTCAGCCCCGGGGAGGGGAACACCACAGGCATAGGTTGAGGGAAGTTAGGGTGTCTCAGAGCGCTGGGAAGTGTGGAGAGGGTGAGTAGGCTTGGAACGGATAGTTGCAAAGTAAGAGTGAACCAGGCATCGAGTACTGAATTTACTGAGGCTTCATGAGCAGTGAAAAATACAGAGGTAAAAGCTAGGCTCTGGAAGAAAGAGACTTCCTCTCTAAAGTGGAAGACAATGCCAGGATATAACTAGCTCCTGTTATCATCTGAGGGTTGAATAAGATGGAATTGTGGGGAGGGGAGAGCTTTGGGTCTTCTGAAGATAGGGAGCAGAATTGGTCCTTGGCTCCTAAGAAATGAGGGAGACAGTTCTGACAGGGGACTGTGGAGGCAAAGGCACTGAAACAGGAAAACACCTGTAGGGGGCGGTGTTGAGAGCTGCTTTAAGATGTCCTGTCCCATAAAAGACAAGAGATTCAGGGAAGAATGAAGGCCACCCAAGCAGAGCAATGGTAAGATGCTGTGCAGGAGGTGTGCTCGCAAGTTATGAGGTGAGGAGAGCAGGTGCTGCTGGGAAGATATTGAGCCCATGAACCTCTCTTCAGTCCCAGGCTCCATGGACACTCACCTTGTGCTCCAGCCATGCCCTGTAGTAGGGGTTTTCTGCACATGCTAAAAGCACCCCTTACTCTTTGTGCATTTTTAAAAAAGCCTTTGGCCAGGGGTCTGCCAGTTTTCTTTTATGACGTTATGGAAAGGGCACAGTATTTGATAACAAAGTTAATTCCAGCCTAGAGGAATGTGCTAGTAGGGTGACCCCAGGCCTTCACATTTTCGTTTGCAAAAGGATGCTAATACCAGCTCTATCTGCTCCACAATAGAGCAGGGAACAAGTATATGGAAAAGCACTGCATGGAAACCCTTAAAGCCCAGTACTCCCCTCATTCCATACCAAGCAAGACTCTCCAGCCTCAGTAAGGCAGGGATGTTTTCCCTCTTTACTCAGCAGAGGAAAGCCTCCCCCACCCCTCTTTAGGACTCAGTTTCCCTTTTCAACAGCATAAGGAAAATGGCTTTTTTCCTTCCTGTCTGCTTCCAGGGTCAGGGAAAGGGGTACCTCTGGAATCTATGTGTGATAGGTCAGGCTATGTACTCCCCCCCCCCTAAGTGGAGAATAGAAGCAGGAGAAAGCCTGCACCAAGGAGGTGCACTGGGTCCTAAAGAGCCAGGCCCCTCCTTCCTGAGCCTCCTTGAGCCAACTCAGCTTCTTCTATACCTCAGTTCCCTGTGGTGGACGGAGACAGATCCAGGGAAGAGGAGGAGCTGCAGCAAGGCCACTTTTTAGGGTTTCACCTTGCCTGAGCTGGTTCTCTATGGAAGGTACAGCCTGTTCCATTGGCCCCAGATGGCATGGCTGACCCAGCCAGGCCTACAGTGGGATGGGTTGTGGTGCCAGGTCTCAGGTCCTGGAGCCTCTGCTCTGACTTCCTTTCCTATGGGCTCAGTATGTTCTGAACAGAAAAGAAATAGCAAAGCTGAAAAAAGCTGAGACTTTGCTGCAGAGCATAGAGGCACCAGCAGCCAGAATTAGAAGCTGTCGCTTAGAGAGCTGAAGCCTGACAGAAGAAGGAGCTGAGGCAGGCAGGGGGCAGGCAGGCACTCCACACACCCCCTCCCCTCCCACTTGCCCAACCTCTCCGCTGTCAGGCCTCAGGTTGGCAAAAGTCTTCCTCCCAGAGGAGCCTCAGTCTGCAAGTCTGTCACTCTGTCTGCAACTGCCCTCTCTCCTAGGCCCCCCCTTCTTTCTTCCTCAAGTGTCACCAGCCCCCTCACCCTGTCACGTTGCACTAGCTTGGCAGGGTTGGGTCTGGTAGCACGTGTCTGGGAGATCCAGAGAACTGCCAGAGGTACAGGGGGTGGGTGAGTCAGCAGGGGATCTGGCACTGAGTCAGCAAGGGGATTGGGCAATAGGTAGGGACCCTTTTCTTTGTGCAGTGGTGAGACAGACATGACAAGGGAACCTGACTCTAGCCTCACAGATGTACAGCAGGGATGGAACCCAGTGCCCTTCACCTGCTGCAGTGCCAAAGGGAGGACATCAACTCTTCCTTTGCATATCGCCTGATGTTAATTCATCTCTAGGGTCCAGAGATTGCATTTGCCCAGATGTTCAGCCTGCCTACCTCCTGCCCTTTTTTATAGACTATAGAAATCAGGGAAGTGGGTATCTAGGTCTGGCCTCATGAAAAGCTGTGCAGAGATCCCCCCAGGAGGAAAGACTGCATCCCCTTCCCCATTCTTGGGCTTCCTAACTACAAAGGGGCACCAGTCTCTCCTGAGCAGTCACCTTCAATTGCTAAGACTGTGGCTATCTTGGCTCTGGCTCTGGCTGTGCCTGTGTGCCTGGCTCAATGAGTTCCTCTAGGCCTGGATCCTCATCCAGAGGTTCTTCCCCAAGGGGTGAGAGGAGAGGAGAGGAGAGATGGGGTGGCTGCCTGCCTGGAGGACTGAAGTCAGGGCTTTGCCCTGCAGGATAGGTGTCTACCCCCATTGTACCCAGCGTGTCTGCTGACTGGTCAGTGCCAGGGGTTCTGTGAATGAGCAGTCTTCCATTCTTATCCTGCAGCTGGGATAGGTAGGACCCCAGAGGCCAGGCCCTTAGAGAGATGGGAAGGGGGAGGGTGCCCCTGTTTACTTTCCAGAGACACAGGTGCTCACCACTAATGGCACTGCTGTAACTCTGTTAAGAAAACAACCTCTTCCCAGCATCACCCCCACCCTGCTTCTCCCAAGCCATAGCCTGTCCCATTTGGGATTTGGTACTGTGCTGTAGAGAGAGTGGCTTCCCACAGACCCTCTGCAACAATTTTTTTGGGTCAAATACAGCTGCCACAGGGCTATGCATCTGGTCACTCTAGGTCTTCCCAAAGAGGTCTAGGTGGCCTAAAACTTTAGGCACTTTTGCACTAGGCCCTCATGTTCCAGTCCTGAGTGTGGAGACAAGAAGTGCCATATCTGTGTGGGGGTGAAGAGGGAGTGACATGATTTTCCAGTGATTGTGGCATCAGGCCAGCAAGAAGGGGAAGTTACTCCTCTTTAAGCCCAGAGGCAGGGCCATTCCACTGGGCTTTGGAAGGGACCTCACCCTGGGTTCAGTTTCCAAGGAATTCTTTTTCCTCAGCCAACTTCATTTCAAGAATACTCCACTCCCATATCCCCCATTTCCTAGATGGAGAACAGAGGCCAGGCTTAGGCAGGAAATGTTGGGTCATGGTTCTTTAGTAGGAGTAGGAAGGAGAAAAATAAATAAACCACAAATTCAGAAGGGAAAATGATGCTGACCTTGTCAGGCAACCTTAGTGGAATGCATGGTAGGAAGTACCCACCCCCAGGTCTAGGGAAAGGGGAGAGCCAGGTTCAGGGTAGGAGCCCTGGAGGCCAACCTCCATTCTCAACATCAGCCCCAGCCCCACGTATCTCAGCAGCTGAGGGCCAGTCTGCTGAGGTAGCTTTTGCCTGTCAGCCTCCTGTTCCCCAAAGCAGGAGATAAGGGCAGGAACTTTCTGGAAACAGTTGTCTCCAGGGATTCTTAAGGTAGTAACAGGCTCTATCTCATGGAGCTGACCACACACTACCTACTCAAGATGTGGCCTAGAAGCCTAGTGCCCTCATTGTGGCAGGAGGGGTTGGGGTTTGGTCCTGCTTGAACCACAGATGCAAGAGTAGAGGTTCCAGGTAGGCAGGTCCATCCCTCCAAGAGAGAAAACCGAATTCCAAGTGGGACAGCACCAGTTGCACACTAGGAAAGGTAAAATGTAGCCAGGGATCCCACCTCCTGGTCCATAGTCAACAAATAGATAACACTCATCAAGAAGTGAGGGAAAGAATATCTAGTAGGAAATCAGCTTAGAGAAGACTTTTAGGCCTCAGCTGGGCCCCTGCTCTGATAGGACCTGATTCCTGCCTCTCCTCTAGCCTGGCTGTTGAGGAGAGGGCTGCAACATGCAAGGGAACCCTGGCTTCCTACAGTTTAAGGTGTTGGAGCTTTTTCCTCCTGGAGGATGGACCCATATCCTACAGAAAGGTCTGAACATCCTTGATAAATGCCCCCAAAGGAATGGGGACATCAGAGGCGGCTTTCCTGGATGTCTGCCATGGTTGTGAGTGGGTCCTGGCCACATGGCTCCTTGGAGGCTTCACAGACTGTCTCAGGCTTGTCCTCAGCCTCAGAGGGGATGCAGGCCCTGAGGCAGGCCCTCACCGACTCCTTCACCTCAGCCTCCAGGCCCTTCATCCTGGCCTCATACTCCGCCAATGCCTCTTGCTTGAACTGTGGGGACAGCAAGGATCACAGCCTGGCTCAGGAAGGGGCCCTGTCCACCCTCCCTACTCTGGACAGTGGAACAAGGAGATGCCTGGTCTCTTCAGAGCTTCCAGAAGACTAGGTTGGGAGTTGGGGGGATGGGTAGTGGAGCCTATCAGGGAGTCTCTCAGGAGAGGGATCAAGCAAAGAGATCTGCAGAGCTGCCTCATTTGAAAGCATTTTGGGATCCCTTGAAAACAAGTCTGTGACCCATTGGTGAGGAACTACATTTCCCTTTCCTTGATTCTCCCAGAGTTTCCCCCAGGAACAGGGCCCCTTCCCACCCTGGAGCTTATCCATCTCTGCTGGAACCAAGCCAGTGGTCCTGTTACCCGCTTTTCCATGTCCTGGATCTGTTCCAAGCAGGCTGCCTGCTTTTCCTCCAGCTTTTCCTGGTGCCGCTCCAGGGTATCAGTCATCTGGGTTTAGTGAGAGGCAGGGAATCAGGGTGGCACAGGCAGGCAACCTGGGTTGGAATCCAGCTCTAATCCCAGCTAAATAGCTGTAAGACTTGAGACAAGTTGCTTAACCTTTGGGTACTTTTATCAATTTGTAAAATGAGCTCATAGCACCTGGCTCACAGGATTGTGAAGGATTACGTGAGATAGCTCCTGTGAAGCACCTGGCATGCAGCCTGGTATAAACTCAGGACACGGTCCATGGTTGCTCTGTCTCTGTGGTTGGCAATCCCCAGAGAAGCTTTGGGTCCAATCTTAGCAGGACTTCCCTTCCTCTTTCCTCTCCTTGGTATTTTGGGAGGTCCCCTCATACACCTCCCCTGGCCAGCTAGCTCCTACAATCTTCACCTAGGGAAGCCAGCTGGAGGCAGAGCCCTTTAAGCTGGTACCCCAGCCTCCACACGCAAGCCAGATGGGATGCCCCCTCACATCCCGGGTTGCACAGACAGTTTTGGGTGGCACCATGTCCTAAGGGCAAAGGAAAGGCCTATGGTTACCCCTTTCTCATCTATCAAGAGGGTGTTTAGGAAGGACACAACCCTTACACACCTGCTTGATGGTCTGCACCACTTCCTGGATGTGGGAGTTGTTAATCTCTCTCTTCAGCCTGTTAGTATAATGGGAATTTTAGAAAGGGGAGGAGGCTCCTGTGGAAAGGAGGGTAGGATGAACTCTCAGGGTATAGGCAATGAGAACTTCAGAGGGCCAGGAACAAGCAGAGGAGCAACCTTGGGAACCCAAGGGAGATAGAGGGGGTCATGGAGCCCTGGGGCTCTCTGGTGGGACAACTTTCTCTTAAAACATAATGTCCTTCAGGGCATCCACGGGAAGCACAGGTGGGGAGCAGAGCTGCCAGAATGGACAGGCTGATGTCCCAAGGCTTCACCTCCCTCTCTGCATGCTTGATTTTCCCTCCAATGCTCCTCTCTGATCAAGTAGTGTTGACATCTGTGTTTTGCCTAATGACACTTTCTGATTGGAGGTGAAAGAGGTGGGATCTTCTTCAGGAGCTAAGGAAGAGGCATATCTCCGGGAAGTGAATTAGGATCCACTTGTAGGGAGTTTTTTTTTTTTTTTTTTTTTTTTTTTTTTTCCCCTACAGGGAGTGGAGTCTTCTCAGGGTTGGGCCTCCCCTCCAAGGCTCACCTCTCCTGGGCCATCTTGTCAGAGGCAGCTTTGGTCATGGCCTGGATTCTCTCTAGCCTCTTGGCCTCCAGCTTTTTCTTCATCTCTTTGGTGTCACTGCAGGAAGACAGGCATGAGGGAGATGTTTTGCAGCCCAGAGAGCAGGGAGAGGTGTGCAAAGGAGGCAGCCATACATCTCTGAGTTCTCCTTGAGGGTCTTCAGCTCTGCAGCGTGTTTCTCTCTGGCCAGCTCCATCATTTTAGCCATTTGCTGTGGGGAAGGAAGCATGGACTCAGTGAGAAGCCCTTGATTGGGAGTGGGTGAGGTTGGTTGGACTGTGCTCTGTCCCCTGCCTGGCACCTCAGCCACATGCTGCTCCTTGCGTTTCAGAATGCACAGGTACTGTTCCTCGCCCTGCTGTTGTAGTTCCTGCTCCAGCCTGTCCTTCAGTTCCCGCACACGTGAGTCTGCGTCCTCAGTGCCCTCACCCCGGGCGGTCCCACCAGTCTCCTCGCAGGGCAGGGTCCTGCAGAGGCCATGCGGGAAGAGGCCCTGAGTCCCGGGTGGTGGCTCATGGAGAGAGGCGTGCCGCCCGCCGCTGCGCTTACCTCTTCTTGCGGGAGCCCTTTCCCGGGCGGAGCTTGCTGCAAGTGCTGGGCAGCCCGAGCTCGGCCAGCTGCGCCGCACCGCGCTGCAGCAGCTCCTCCCAGCGCCGCGAGCCTCGCCGCTCCAGCTCCCGAAGCTCCTTCTCGTGCCGCCGCTGCAGCTTCACGATGCCCTTCAGCTCGCGCAGCTCCTCGGGGCTAGTGGTCTGCGGCTCTGCGGAAGCACGGATGAGGTGCACAGGCACTCAGACCGCCCCTGGGGGCCTGCTGAACCCCCAGGAGCCCCAAGTCCTCCCCGGGTTCATACCCAAGAACACAGGAGCTCAGCAGGTCTTACCCACAGCTTCTTTGGGGGCCTCCTCCCTGGCCCTGGCCGTGGCTGCTGTAAGAGCACAGGATGGACTGGCAGATGCCCTGAGCATCCCTTGGCTCAACTAGGCTCTTCCCTGCTCCTTGAGGGTCGCAGTATGGGCACCCCTGCAGTGTACTTTCTCAGTCTTGAGGCTTCAGCCCTTCCCTCCCCAGGTGAAAATCTCCATCGTTTGTGGCCTATAGGTGCAGTCCAAGAGGTGGAGGCCCCTCCAAAAGGTAATCAGACCCCAAAGTGCCTACCTGCTGACCCGTTGCTTGCTGGGGCAGCTGATGCTCCATTTACTTGGTGAGCAACTGGACTTATGGATGAGAAGGGCTTCTGCATAGGGAGAGTGAGTTAGAAAGGTGGCTTCAATAGCCCTCTTTCCTTAAGCGGGTACTTTACCTTTACTCCAACCTCCCAAAGAGGGGGCAAAGCTCCTGGGGGTCCCTGGCAGTGATCCAGGCAACACAGACCTCAGGCACACCTCCCATGGCCTCCTTGAGCTTCATAGACTTCTTATCATGGGCATTGAAGAACTTGATGGGGTTGGCGAGGGCAACGGTGAGATCTGGGAGCATACGGCATTACCAACATGGTGTGTGTGAAGATGGACCTGGAAGCCTCCCCTGTCCTTGCCTACCCCAGGAGCCCCTGTACCACTCCACTTTTGAGGCTGGGTTAATGGGAGGAAAAGGAATGGATATCTGGGTCTCCTAGCATGTCATGGGCTTCCTACCTGCCCAAGTGTCAGGTACATAGTCCTTCATCTCCAGGAAGATAAACAGCGCAGGCATGGTGAGGGGCATGTTGCTCTCACTGTGCAGGCACAGATGGTGATATCCTGTTGGATAGAGTGGGGTGAACAGTGAGCCAGAGCCCATTCCTGTCCAGTACTACATACAAAAAAGTCCAGCACTTAAGACTTCTGGCTTTAAGATCAGAGAGACAATTCTGAGTCTAGTACTACACCTCCCTGACTGTGCATCCTTGGGCAGGTTACTTAACTCTCTGAGACTTTTTTTCATCTACAAAATAGGATAATAGTGTCTGCCTCATGTGGTTATTGTGAGGATTGAGTTAAAATGTGTTATAAGCCCTTAGCACATTTTAAGTCTCCATAAGTGTCAGATGCTCAGAAAACTATGCCAGTAGTTCCAGAAAATTATGAACATTCTGTTAGGTGACAGAGTTTCCACCTGTCAGGTTCCTGGGGAGATACCATTCCTATCCCACTCCTTAGAGCTGATAACATGAGGAAGCTAGGTAGGGTCTCAGGGCCTCCTCCCTAAAGTTGTCCCACCTGTGGGTTGGCCCCTGATGCAGACTCCTGGAAAGAATGAAAACAGAAAACACATTCCTTACCAGAATTCAGGGCGTTGATGGGGATGATGCGGTGGCCGAGAAATTTATTGCCTTCCTCCATCACAGCCACCCTGAGGGAAGCCAGCTCAGGCATTAAGATCTAGGGAGGGTTTGGGACAGGTCAGGCTGGGAGGGGACAGGGGAATCCAGCTGCCCACCTCCCTGGCTCCAGAAGTTTCGATGTCAGTGTGAGAACATGGCAGGTGTTACCAGATATGGTGATGACAGAGAGCACCCTCAGTCACGTACATAGATATCCTTACAGTTCATGCAAGACTGGTCTCACAGAGTGAAGGACTGGAGATGCAGCCCAGGGCTGTGAGAGCCTGGGGCAGAAAATTCTTAGTAACTTTGCAACTGGTGTTCAACAGGAGCAAAAGATTCCCAGGATCCTGAGCCCAGGTTCCTGAGCCCTGAACTGAGAGTTTACATTTTTGCCTCTAACATATACACATGAACGCCCCTGCCCCCCACCAACACACACACACACACACACACACCAACTGCTAGCCAAGCAAGCTTTTGTAAATCTGAGTTTGGGATTCTTGAAACTCAGGAGGGTACAGGTGAGGGGCAGGGAGAGGAGGAGGAAGATCAAGGAGACCCCTTTATTTCCTCTTATCTATAAACAGAGGTCAAGGACTAGGGGCAGACCCCAGTCCCTGCCCTGCCCTACCCTCACCTTCTCAAAAACAAAAGGCTCCTCTTTCCACACAGGATTGATGGAGTTGGGACTGGGTGACAGCTTGGTGCGATAGCGCCTCTTGGGGTCCCCTGGAAGACCAAACAATTCCACTTCCACATAGGTGCGCACACTGCGTTCTGACAGGAACTGCCCAGAGATGACCTGGGAATGGGGACCCAGGGGAAGCCAGCATCAGATCCCCCACCCAGGCTCTTCCCTAAGTACCTAGGCCTCTGGCTCCTTACACTAAAGAATTCCTTCTTGTGAAGAGCCCCATTCAGTTCTGGCCACGGAGTAGCAGCCATGTGGATCAAGGTTTACAGCTGAGCTCTGAGGATCAAGGTGCTCCCAGCATTCAGGGAAGAGGTGTGCACCCCACCTCCCCCTGGGCTCTGGCCTGCTCTGCCCACTCTCTCCCCTCCCCCACCTCAGCCTCAGCCCTTCCCCATGGTTTCCATGGGGACCAAGAGGCAGCCTCCAGTGCTGAGGAGGAGGCAGTTTCCAAGGCAACTTGCTACTGCAAGAAATGGCTGGGTTGAAGTCTTCCAGATATTAGGGGAGGGGTCTGGGGGGTAGAGGGGTGGGCTCCTGGGCCATTCTCCTAAAGACCCCAGCCCTCCCAGCTACTTGTCCACCTCTGAACTTGCCGTAATAGAAAGGGTGGTGGCTACCACCACATCAATTCGGTCCACCGAGAAGGGATTGAACTGCTTGTCCAGTCGGCGCATGAACTCATGCTTGAGGAGGTAGCCACTCTGCCCGTTGAACTCGAACAGTGCCATGTTCTGCTGCATGGGCAGGTCTGGGGGGAAGTGAGGAGACACAGTGAGGAAGGCCTGGCCCTGGTCTGTGCCCTGTCTCCTGCACTCCCCAGCCCTTCTTGTCTTGAGAATGGGGAGATTGGGTTTCAGCCTAGTTCCTTGGGTTGTCTGATCTCTCAGGAAGGGTCCACAACTTGGGGTCAGCAAGAAGCAATGATTCCACCAGGCTGAAAGCTCACAGTGGGCATTGGGGCAGGTGAAGCAGGGGTTCCCACAGACACAACCAGGCAGAGTGTCCAGAACCCAAGCCAGCCGCTTGGTTTCTTCACATACTTGTTCACACATGAGCAACCGCATTGGCATGAGCCAATGTATTCACACCCCCAAGTGCTCTGGCATGCTCCCAGAGCCAAAACAAGTGCATTGGACACACAGTCTGTTCCTAAGACCCCCAGGGAGGGGCAAAGGTGAAATAGGCAAGGCCCCAGAGAGAGTTCTCAGGGGCTGGGAGTTCCTCACCCATCGTCTGGAAGTTGAGGGCAACCATCTGGCATCCAGCATTCCAGAACATCTGGGGCATGTAGTTGGAGGAGTCCATGCGAGTGCCCTTGGGGTAAATGCGACTCATCTGGCGCTTGTTGTAGCTGCCTCTGAGTATAGGAGCCCAGCCAAGGCTGTTCCACCAAAAGGACCCAACAGCCTACACAGAGAGTCCCGTTCCCAAACCTCCCTTCAGAGCGCCCCACCCCCAGCTTATTAAAGCCTCAAGGATACTCCACAAACTGCACGGAGGCCTTGGAGAGCAGTTCATAAGCCTTGAGCTCCGTGAAGGAGGAGATGACATAACTTCGGTTCTTCTCTATGAAGAGGAGAAAGGGAAAGGGGAGTCCATGTTTGTCTATCCCTTCAACACAGAGATGTCTCTAACCCAGCATTTCCATGGAAACCTGGGAGTTTAGGGACTGACCTCTGGAAGAAATGTATAGGGAACTGTGTGTTGGAGTAAAAGGTCTTCACAGTGGACAAGCATAGGGATGGGAAAGGTGTCACAGTCCCAGAGAGAGAGGGCTGCATGTGTGGATGCAAGAGGCTGTGGGGAATGTATTTGTTCTGAGCCTAGTGTGTCAGGAGTATGCCTGAGCATGTTGCGTGTACACGCTTGTCTGTGCACATGCAAAGCATGAGCACATGCCATGATGTGCACAGGGAGTGAGGCATGTAGGCAATAGCTGAACACATGGAAGAGAGGTGTTCACCATGGTGTATGCCGTGGATGTGCTTGGATGGGGGTGCAGGCTGTGCCATCAGGGATGAGGAGTCAATGTTGAAGAGGCCCAACTGTGCACGGAAGTCTTCGGAAAAGATGCTCATGTTGGGGGCATGCACAGAGGGCAAGAGGCACATGTTGGGCATACGTCCCAGGAAGATCATGGAAAACAGTGGTGGGGTAGTGTATGCAAAATGGGAAGGGTAAACAGAGCAGTGTGCATGGGCAGTTTTCTCTACTTTCTGCCTGCTCCCGGGATGTCTCATCCCCCAGGGCCAGGACTTCTGGACTTGGGCCAGCCCTGGCTGCAGTTCAACCCTGAAGCCACAAAACCCAGAGAAGACTGCAGGAGCCCTAGGCAGGCTTTGACTGAGGTGACCTGTCACAACAACCTGCCTGCCACCAACACACTCCAGAACATTCTGTTTGTTGCCAAGTTCCTCTCTACAGTGCTGGGAGACTGGGAGCCACTGCCACTTAAATAAGCCTTGCCTGACTCCTTGACTGGATATTTATAGACAGGGCCCCAAATCCAAGGAAAGGGGAAATCCCCCTTCTTCCAATCCCACCCGTCGAGCTGCACTGGTCTGAGGACCATCTTCTCCTGAACCTGACCAGTCCTCCCCTCACCCCCAGCCCCATGCTAACGTACGGGCAGAGAACTCGAAAGAGATGAACTTAGTGGGCTGGATGTAATTAACTAGGCTGGACATCTCTTCATAAGCCGTCACCTCCAGGCCTGCGGTGCCCTAGGGAGCAGAGGGGAGTGCGGAGAAGAGGATAGTACGGAGGCCAGATTACAGCTCTGTGCCCCACCCAGAGGGCTGTGCAGCAGAAGATGGCAGAGGGGCTGGGATGTCCCCACACACCTCATCTGACTGCATCTTCTTCATCTCTTCTTCATCCAGGCTTCCCGACTCCTCTTCCTCTTCCACTTCCACCTCCTCCTCCTCCAGCTCAGACCCTTCCTCACCAGCCCACACTGCCACACACAGCTCTGTCAGCACCCACTGGCAGGCTCCGCCAAGTGTTGACCCTCTCCTACTCCAGATGCCCGGGCCCCACCCCACTCTTTTCACGTAACTTACCTGTGTCCTCGCCCACTGGGGCCCTGGGCAGGCCATTGCCCTCAGCCTCCCCACTAGGCTCCTTGCTGGGGGCTGCTGAACCAGAAAACTGGTTTTTCTTATTCTTGATGAGGATCTTACCCCGGAGGTCCTCAGGACTGGGCAGAGGGATGCCTGGTTTCAGCTGTGTAGAGGGGAGGGGTATACACTGAGCTCCCCAATGCCAAGCCATGTTCCCTCTGCCATCCACTGTTCTCCTTGCGTCACCTCTCACCCCTGCCCTTTTGTATTAAACTCCTACCTGGCCAAACTTATCCCTGTTCCCAGCAATGCTGTTCTCTTTCACCTGCTCCATCTACCTAGAACACCCTTTCCCCACTCTTCACTGAGTTAAACCTGTTGTGTCCTTCAGGTCCCAGCTTAGCCAGCATTCCTCTAGGAAGCCTTCCCTGATCCCCTAAGACCAGAGCAGGTATGCCCCAGGCACCCCCATAACAACCACTGGTGTGATGGCCTGGTCACTTGCCCATCCCATCACTAGAGGGTTAAAAAAAAAAAAAAACTGGTCGATAATATACCTTAGAGTTTAGCACAGTGCCTGACACTTGACATATGACAGGATCCGAGCCTCACAATCCAGCCAAATGAATCCCAGTGTCTTTGGAGACACCACTTCCCTAACCTGGCACCCATTTGTCCCAAGGCCCAGAGGCCTGACAGCAGACTTCACTCACTGGGAATTTTTCCAAGGGCTCTGTGAGCAGCATATCCCCAAACATCGTCCTGCAGTACTCGGCCATCTTAGCCTGTTGGCGGGGTCTGTAGGAAGCAGAAGTGAGAATGGGAGTTCAACAGCTCAGCCCCAACCCTCTTGTCCATCTTTTTCTTCCCTAGATGACCCAGTTCAGGGGCCCAGGAGGTGCGGGGGGGGGCAGGGCCACACACTGGAGAATCTGGGGTTCCCAGGAAACTGTTGAGATCTGGGAGAGAGCCAGACTGATGGCTAGAGGCCGGGGACAGCTAGGGAGGCAATTGCAAGCAGAGATTGGGAACCAGGTAGAGAATGAAGCTGCATGGGCCTGGATACGCACGAGTCCACATGGTTTTCAAATGACAGGATGACGGGATAGGGAGAGGTCTTAAAGGCACTTTCTGCAATTGCTTCAATAGCTTCCTGGAGGAGAAGGGGGCTCAGCAGAGAGGTCAGTGTTCTGGCTGCCCCTCCCCATGGTACCTTTCCTCACTCCCCAGTCTCAATACATACATAAGACTGATGGCCTCTCTTGACGCCCCCCATCCCCTCTGTCCCTGTAGTCTCCACACCGATCTGAAACTTTCCAGAATTCCTCCTGTCTAGCTTCATTCTCTTAGCCTCAAAAAGACTTTTCCCAACTACCACTGCTACCACCTCCACCCAGAGTCTCACCTTGAACAAGATGTCTGTGGTCATGGTGAAGCCATGGGTAATAATGGGCTCCTCATCAGGGGGCTTCCCCTTCCAGCAGTCCAGCTCCACACAGCGGCAGCCAGACAGCAGCACCTGGCGGTACATCTCAGCCGAGGAAAGGCCTGAGAACTGGCCGGCTGAGCCAGGACGGGGAAGGGGCAGGGGCATCACTCAAGGGCAGGCAAGCCCCCACTCCCCATCATGATCTGTCTTATTGGCAGGGTCAGTGGCATGTGGATGACATCTGAAGATGAACTAGGGAATGGGAGCAGGCCCTGTCAAAGGAGAGGTCAGCAACAGGTTGCCAGGGCCCACCTGTCAGGTAGGTGTTGTGTGAGGAGTTGATGAAGTAATGATTGAGAGGCTGCGTCATGTCATGGTGGAGCAGCAGCTTGTCCTGGGCCAGCACACTGTTCTCTGGCCCACAGAGAAACCAGACCATGCCCTCAGGTGACAGCTGGCCTGGGGACAGAGGATAGCTATCAGGGCTGCATCCTGGCTGCCAGGGCAGGACAGCTGCCAGGGCTCAGTCCAGCTGCCAGGGGAAGCAGGCCCTTAGTCCTCACCCCTCTGCACGTTGATGCCACTGGGTTCATATTTGTCGATGAGGCCCTGCACCTGTTCAGGTCTCGCTGGTGGGAACAGCAAGGAATTGAGCCGAGAGTCACGCTGTTTCTGGTTGATGAATTTGGTCAGGTGCTCCTTGGTCATGTAGGGTTTGGCCTTAGCATGGCTGCAGTCCAGAGAAAAGAGCACAGGTCCATATCCCTTGGGCCTGGATGCTTGATAACCCACTTCTCCAGTGAAGGTTCCTGATTCCCAAAAGGGCAATTGGGAGGAGGCAATTGCCAGCCACCACTCCTCCCCAAGAGGGGCCCAGCCCAAGAAGCTCACTAGGAAGTGAAGATCTCGTCTATTTCTGGCCGAGGACAGAGGCTCATGAGAAAACTCTTGTAGACAGATTCTGGGAAGTCCTCAGGATTGATAGCATCATTCTGAGGGAACAGACACTTTATTATCTCTGTCCCCACCTACTCAGAGCTAAGACCCACAACCTAAGCCCAGCTCTGGGCAAGGTGACTTGATCAGAGAAGGTACTCAAATTAGACAGACAGAGAACTGACATCCTCAGCACCTTTGAGAAAAGCCCTGATTACTGATCAGATAGCATGCTTAGCTAGTTTACTTTGACTCTGGTTTTGGACAATGGCTAGTTCCTTAGCTAGAATAGAATTGGAACTAAGAATGACCAGAGCAAGGAGAAGTGAGAAGTGAGTGACTGTTTTCCAGAGCAGAGGGCTATATTTTTCTTTTTTTAAAAAAGGGAAGGAAATTTTACAAAAAGAAGTAGTTTGAGGGACTGGGGTTGTGGCTCAGTGGTAGAGTACTTGCCTAGCATGTGTGAGGCACTGGGTTTGATTCTCAGTACCACATAAAAAATAAATAAATAAAGATGTTGTGTCCATCTACAACTAAAAACTAAAAATTAAAAAAGAAGTAGTCTGAATATAAACATGTATGTACCTAACAACAGAGTTCTGGAATACAAGAAGCCAAAACTGACAGAACTGCAGGGAGAAATAGATAATTCAACAATAGTTGGGAACATCAAAAGCATAAGGGACCAAAAAAGAAAGAAAGAAAGGACTTCATAAAAATTTAAAACTTTAGTGCTCCAAAAGACCCCATTAAGAAAGTGAAAAGAAAATCCACAGAATGTGATTTAAAAAAAAACTGCAAAGCAGATATCTGATAAGAGATAATAACAACAATCAAGACAACTCAATTGAAAGATGGACACTGGATATGAATAGATCTTTCTGCAAAGAAGATATAAAAATGACCAATAAGCACATGAAAAGATGCTCAACATCATTAGTCATTGGAGAAATGCAAATGAAAACCACAATGAGATACACTTCACTCCCACTAGGATGGCTGAAATAAAAGACGGTAACAGCGTTGGTGGGATGTGGGAAAGATGGAACCCTCGTACAATGCTGGTGGGATTGTAAAATGGTGCAGTTACTTTAGATAACAGTCTGGCAGTTCCTCAAAATGCTAAATATAGAGTTACCATATGACCCAACAATTTCACCCATACATATATAGCCAAGAGAATTGAAAACAAATCCACACAAAGTCATGTACACAAGTGTTCATAGCAGCATTATTCATAATAGCCCCAAAGTGGAAAAAACCAAAATGTCCATCAACTCATGAAGAGAAAAAATAAAATGTGATATATACATCCAATGGAATACAATTCCATAATAAAAAGGAATGAAGTACTGACGTGCTACAACATGGATGAACCTGGAAAACATTATGCTAACTGAATGCAGCCCGATGTCAAAGACTACACACTGTATGATTGCATTTATGTGAAATGTCCATAAGAGGCAAATCTATAAAAGTAGAAGCAGAAAAGAAATTAGTAGTAATCATGGATTCTGTGCCTTTGTATTTTGTCCCCTTTCCCCTCCAAGAACAACAACAACAACAAAATTAATCCTGTCTTTCAGGATCACACTGGAAAGCCAATATTGGTCTTAGTTTGGAGCAGAAGGAATGAGCAAGAGAGCCTGACGAGATCTCCCCAAGCTCTTCTCTGCCTCTGCAGCTGCAGCTCCAAGCCAAGACTGATCAATAGCCTCAACTGGGACTGAAGGAAAGCAGATAAATAAGGAGGACATAGCGAAGGTGAGAATTAATTCAGGAAGGAAGAGAAAAGGAGAGTGGATGAGTTGATACCCACAGACAAGCAGTGCAGGCTGTGAGGACCACCACTCCCCCACCCCATTCTTGAATCCAGTGTGATTGATTGCACTTGGGTGTCACCAACTCCACAGTTATGTGATTGTGGGGGAAAAGCTCCTCCTGATTTCATAAAGAGAGGAGACCAGCAGGGGCTTCATTTTATTTATTTATAATATTCTAAATTCTTACTAAGAGAAAATACTCCATGGAGTGCAGGTAATGACCTACATGGCCAAAGGGGACAGAGGACTGAGATCTACTTCCCTGGCCAGGCTTGAACCCTGACTCAGAGCCATATCTGCCTGGAGGGATCCCTTTTGGTAATTCACATAAGGTACCTCATGGGGTGAATCTGCTTGCAGCTTGTAATGAAAAATTAATTACCTAATGAAAAAGAAAGAGGAAAATTCATTTTTATCTTGAGTTGAAGTCTGTGTCCTGACAGCCTCCACCCTTGGTTCTGGTCCTCTCTCCAGAGCCCTGCAGAATAGTCTCTTCCTGAGCTGTCAGATGGCTGCAGGCAGCCTCCTGCCCCAGCTGACCTTATCTCACTCTTTCAGGCTGAAAACACACTGACCATTTCTACTGCTGACCCTTAACAGTCCATCAACTGCTGCAACCCAACTCTGCCATCCAGAGGTGTGGGATACACATTGACCTGCTCTGAACCCAGCATCTCATCCTTTTTGCCCTGGTCCCACATCTGTGCCTAGTATAAGAAACCAATGGCTTTAGGGTTAGTTGTTATTGGGGGTTATTGGTGGCACTGCAAGGCCATTTCTACACTGTTCCACTTTCCATCATTCTTAGCCAAGTTGTTCTCTCGTGGGAGTGAGAATTTGGTGAATGGGCTGCGGGTGGATAACTACTCACCTTCCCCTTTGCCAGGTGACAGGCACTGAGAGCAGCTTCCACCCGCTTGCGGTCAGCAGGAAACATCTGGAAAAAACTGAAGAAGCAGAGAAAGGCACCAGGCAAAGAGGAGTCATGGCTGGAAAGAGAAGGCCTGGGGAGCTAGGTTGAAGTATGGGGAGGGAGTTGGGGAGACTCACTTCTTCACAGGAATCTTCCCTTCAGGGGTCAGTTGCATCTTGAGCTTCACCAGGCTGGAGGAACAGAAAGCAGCCCATCAGGGTTGGGGGCAGGCATGCCTGGCCCCAGAGCTAAGGCCAGGTGGACAGGCACTTACATCTTGTCCAGAAAGGTGATGCGGGGGGCGTTGGTCATCAACGGGTGCTTGGCCAGAGCTAGTACATCTTCAGCCCAATCCTGTAGGACCACAGAACCCAGTGGTCAGGCCCATGACCACAAGGGTGCCCCTAACCACACCATAGCCTATGTCTCTCAGGAAGTTCAGGCTATCCCAGGTGTCAAGACCCAGACCAGGCATTCTCTGTGCACCTTGCCCACGTTCTCCTTGTAGGATACAAAGTTGTGGAAGGTGAGGTCCACCATGTCAGGGCCGGACACCACTGTGAGTGTCTTCAGCAGGAAGTGGTTATCTGGAAAGTCCATGTTGAAGACATCCCGGAGCTTCTGGCTCTGTTACAAGTGATGAGGGTTGGAGGCATGCTCTCATCCCTCCCCAATGAGCCTTCCCTGTCCCTCCCCCTCATCCACTTGAATTGTGGCCCACTAGAGCAAAATCCTACCCTATCCTAGGAACCAGGCCTGGGCATCTCCCAAAGCCTGACTCTAGTAGAAAGGAGTAGAAAGGGTAAAAATGAGAGGCCCACAGGAGGACATTAGCTAAGGCAGTGTGAGTCCTGTGTTTTGATTGCCACTTTTGTTTGAAGATGGATTCTTAGCTCCCAGAGTCAGAGAATCCTGCTTCCCTCTAATCCCTTCCTCTAATTTTCCTACCAGCATTAGGCAAATATAGACAAATCAGTATGGGGCTAGGTGTAAGCAATACCTCCTGGGCAGTCTGGGGTACTCTGGGAACAGGAGCTATCCCCTCTCTTCCCACACTCTCACTATCTCTGCTCATGGTGCCCAGGTGAGCCCAGGAGCAGCCACACCCTTCCTTGGCTCTGGCTGGGTCCTTGCTGCCCAGCCCAGGAACTATTCCCTTTGTTCCAGAGATCAGACTTCTCATCTTCACAGGGACTCCTGATCTTGCCCCATGGATCTGGCCACCATGATGAGCCTAGGCCGCTCTGAGACCACCTACCTTGGGAATCTTGGCAAACTTCCCAAAGCGGGTGTCCCGGATGTTAGTGATATCCAGAAACTCCATCTCCTGGAAGGGAGCTCCCAGTAAGAACAAAGAAGGAATGTGGGACAAAAAGGTCAGAACGAGAATGAAAAACAGAACCAGGAGCTTCCACACCCCTTCAAATCTTGGCCAACTACCCTCTCTAGATACCAAGGCTTCTTAAAGCCACCTGGACCCCAACCTTCCCTTCCCACCAACTAGGTTCTTCTATCATGAAGACCTTCCTCCCTACTTCTCAGTTTATCCCTTCTCTGGCACAGAAGCTATGGTTTGAAGCTTCTCCTCAGCATCCTAGTATCTCTCCACACTGCTGTTCCTTCCTTCTGCCTGATTACCAAGGCTCTTCTCTGACCTCTGAGCCTTTAGGTAATCCAGAGCCACTGGCAAAGCAGAGCCCTTCCGTAGCAGCTGTTTTTCCTTCCCCTGTGTCTCTCTAGGGGATGTTAAGGTTGGAGCAACTGGGTTGCAGCAGCCGTGTTTAAAATGACTATATTCTCTCTCCCAGAGTGAACAACTCTACCTGTATAGAAGCCCCCAGAACCACCCTTTCAGGCCATTCTTTACTCCCCAGCATCCACGCCTCTACCCCATACTATCAAGAGTCTGGTTGGTCTCATTGGACGAGCAAGAGCCCAGGGGCTTGGTAGGTAGGGGCTGCCTCACCTTACTCTGATAGGTCCAGTACAAGTAATAGCCCTTGGGATCCACACGGAGGATAACTGGGGAGGCTACTGCAGTTTCCTGCAGAGAGAAGGGGTCTGTCCTGAGACCTCAGGCCAAGTTTCCCTGGCCCAGGGCAAGGGTTTCAGAGTTCATCTTCCTAGAAGGTGCTTGTCCCAGGAATCCGAATGCATTTCCTTAAGATGGGAGGGATTGAGGGCTGGAGATAGCGTTTCCAGAAGACAAGAGGCTTCCTCTCTAAGCCCCAAATAGAAGTGTTCTCTCTAGACCCCAAACAAGGTCCTGGTTGTTCCCCACCTCATCATGTTTTCAAGCATCACGGTTCCAGTAAAGGGATAGAATGCCTGTCCCCAAGACTCCCTGCTTCCACCTAGGAGAACTTAACACAATGAGAATCAAGGACCCTAATTCCTGAACCCACTACCAAGACCCTGTACAATCCAACTGCTTCCTAACTCCTCACATACCCATCCTCCATCCATGACTGTCCCCAGTCAATGGCCCCATAGCCACCAAGTGCCTTCCCACCTCAAAACTGAAGCACTTCAGCCTGAAATACCTTCAAGAATCAGACTACACCTCATCCCTCAGGAAAGTCTTCTCTGAAGTGTGCTATAATCATTAGTATTCACTGACCTAGAAGCACTTCTAGGGAAATTCCAGGAACGGATGGACTCCAGGGCCATAAGCCTGAGCTAGACCATGAGCTTGGTGCTCGGTGCTCGAGCTTGGGATTTGCTGAATGAGCAAGTGAATGAATGCATGAATGGTCTCACCTTCTAAGTCCCTGTTCTATTCACAGAGCACCTAGGCTAACTTTTAACAGGCTTTGCATGTGAATATAACAATATATTAAAATTGAAGTTTCCGATGAGGCTTTGTAGTTACTACAGACAAATGCAGAATTTACAAAGGAAATTATCAAAGAAATGTTCTCAGATCAGAGGTGTTTAGAGTCTGGGGAAAAGATTTTTGCAACAGGCAATTTTGAATGAAACAGTGCTATAAGCTCCAGTCCCTTCCCCCACAAGGGAGGGTTGAGGTACCTCACCCCTCACCTCAAACTTAGGGAGGAGTTTCAGCTCTCTTTGGAGAGCTCTTGTGACTCCTGCAACTGTGGGGTATAATGGACTGGACCATCCTCCTGACCAGGACACCAAGTAGGTGACATGCACTGACTTTGTGCAAGGCAGATCAGAGAGATGCTGGTGTGTTGAATGAGTCTATGCCCCAAGAATGGAAAGTGTGTCGTTGGAGTCCAGAGTGGGTCCGTGGGGAATGGAAGGGGAAAGGGTCCACAAAGGGCTAAAGAAGTAATTGCCTGAAATAGAGATGTCAGGGGACCCAAGCAAGAGAACCTCAGTTCAGAATGGAGGGTCTTGCAAGAATTATTAAAAGGGTCCAATAGAGGGGGGGAAATGCTTTAAACCTCTGTCAGGCTCAGAATGCCTGACCCTGTTTATGCCAGTAGCCAGTACCATTCAAGAAAGAACTTTGTTACCCCTTCCTCACCTGGTCCTGGAGGAAGAGGAGGAAGAGGAAAAGAGAATCTCACCACTTGCCCCATGTAGAGGCTCTGCAGCCACCCTACCTGTGCCCCAAACCATTCCTGGAGGGCCTGGTGCAATGATAAACAAGGTCTGAGTTTTGATTCTAAGTAGTTTCTCAAATAGGACCAAGTTTTGACCATCATGACCATTGGACTACTACCTAAGGGTGAAAGTATCATGGCTAGCTGAGTTTGTTTACACAGCCAGGAGGAGAACTTGTCCCTCCACTACGTCTGGAGGGACTGCGAGAGACTAGAAAGGAGAGACTGGAGTCAGGATTTGATTATCCCAGGCATTGTGCTTTTTCAACATGGTACAACATACCCTTACCATCTGCTAACTATGCTGAAAGCAGTCTGAGAAGGGGCATGTTTCACAGGGGCATGTGCCCTGCTACTAGGCTTGGAACTTTTTGCTCGAACAAGTCTGGATCCAGGGAATATGTAGTGTTCCACCTTTGGAAGGGGAAGGGGCCAACCAGATGCAGGTTGGGGAGAAGGGCACATAGCAGGTCCCCACCCATGGTGACCCTCTTCCCATTCAGGTTATGCACAGTGTCCAGAGGAACTGAGAGAAGCCACATCACTTTTCATTCTGAGCCACTTCCCTCATTCCACAGACTCCTGGCACATGCCATCCTCATGCTACCACCATGCCACATGAACCACAACACTCCTAGGGAAATTGAAAGTGTCTCACCCGAGGGCCCCTCCCCATAGCCAAGACCAGATTCCTCAGCCTATGAAAGGCATAGGCCCAGATCTTCTCATCTCACCCATAAGCTGGACAAGCCAGACCTAAGGCCCTCTCCTCCAGAGATGAACCATCATTTCTTTTCCAGGACCAACAACACTCTCTTAGGCTGGCCAGCCCAGTAGCCAACTTCCCTTCCCTGAAGGAGAGTCCCTATATTATCATTCTCTCTGGCCCAAGAGAATCCCTGACCAATGGCAATGTTTTTAGGGTCCAGGAAGACCAGAGGCTGGCAAGCAGGTCCCAGTTTTGGGAGGAGCAGATGCAGTGGAAGCAGGGGTACAGCTCAACAGTGCCTTCCCCTTCCCCTGCAGACATGCTGCTGGCGTCATGGAGCAAGGCTGAGCCCATGAGAGGAAGCAGAAGTCAATTCCTTCCCAGGCCCCTAGGAGAAGGAGCCTCCAGTTCTCACGTGGGTCCAGGGGCTTTCTTGGAGACCCCACAGCAGCTCAGGGGAGAGCAGCGTTCCTATGGGACAGGGCCAGTACATCCCATAGAGAGGGGTGAAAAAGACAGGTTTGGGACTCTGGGCCCTCTGCTGGAGCAACAGCAGGGTGTCTAAGCTGGGGGTAGTGCTGGCTCACCTCTTTTTCTGGCTCTAAGCTCTGGGGCACACTTTCTTCCTATTGATGCTGAAGCCAGGAGCAACCAAGCCCTGTTCTTCTCTGGGCAGGGGAGGGGCGTCAGGCTTTGGGAAAGACAGATTTAGACCAAAGAAACCACTTCTATGAGCCTTGGCCCAGCTGCCAGGGCCACGCACCCTCATCTCTAGGCTTGTTTATCCCAGCAGTTGTGTCAGCTGCCTGGCCAAACCACACAGGCGCCTGGGTCCTAGCAGACATAAACCAACCATCTACCCCAGGCAGAGCCCCCTAGCAACCAGGCCCCCGCCACCCTGTGCCCCAGCAGACTAGGCCCCTGCCTACTCACATCGTCCCATTTGATGAAGCGCTCCCCTTGGCTCAGATAGGCCTTCACCTTGGGGGGCAGCAGGACAGGGTTCAGCAGAGACATGGTGCCAAGAGTCCCTCTTTGGAGAGGCTGGGCAGACACAGCAGGCAGGAGAAAAAAAGGCAGGCCTACAGGAGGGGGAGCCAGGCTAGGCTTATATGGCACCCGCCCAGAGCTGGTCTGGATGTCTGGGTGCTCTTATAGCTCACGGGATGGCAGTGGCTGGGTGCAGGGCCCAGAACTCCAGTCAGAGGCGCATCTGCTTTGTAAATCAGCCTCCTCCCACCCTGCCTGCAGCAAGGGACTGCAGTCACTGCTCCTGCCCAGGGAGGCTGGGCTCCCCTCCTTGAAGCCCCCGCCCTCACCCTGTGCCTCAGCACTTCCTGCTTATGGCTTCCTTCTCTGTGCTGCTTAAAACCCAGAGGCAGGTCATGCGGTCTGGTCGCCTGGAGCCAGGACCTCTCAGTCCCAGAAGTTGTCCTTTGTCAGATTTGACCAAAGGACTAAAAAAAGAGCAATATGGTCGCCTGGAGGGGATGGTGTTGACCAGTCTTGGACTGAAGAGGGGGTGCAGAGAGTTCATAAGAGAAGTCCAGCAGGGGTCTATCCCTAGAGGGTGGGATCACCCTGGGAGGTGGGCGGTGGGGATGGGGTCTGGGTCCAGCTGGGATTCAGTGTTTTGAATAAGCAAAGTTAGCAAAACATTAAGCAAAATTAGCAGTACACCAAGCTCCTCTTTCTCAGTGCTTCCTCTCCATGAAAATGAGGGCCAGGTGAGGCAATCGTGCCCTTCACACAAGACTCCCTGTGGGCCTTGTGAGGCCTGCAGCCTTCACTGACCAGCCACCAGCCACCATCTCACACAGCTTGGAGCAGCCCTTTGCTACAGCTTCCACTGAGCACTACTACCAGCTGTTCTTCCTCTGCTGCATAGCCAGGGGCCTGGGTGACAGCCCCTGTGGCAGGATGGCTCCTCCAGACTGGAGAGGCTCGGCTCTGGGCCCTATTTAGGGTGCATGACTCTCTCACTGCCCCTGTCCCAGGGAGTTCAGTCCCAGCCCAGCTCAGCCCCAGCCCACTTCCTCTTGCCTAACCTACTCCTCTTATCACCCTATGAGTAGGCAAGGAGCTCTACCCATGACTTCCTTCCTCTCAGGCCTGGCTTTCTGCCCTAGGTCCCATCAGGGGCCTTAGTGCTACCTCTAACAATTATGAGACCCTTGCCCTGCCCAGGAACTGCCTCTGCAGGTCAGGACCAGCACAGAAGGGGTGGTGGGGGCTGGGGCAGAGGGAGGACACTTGAGTGAGAATAAGAACCAGAAAATCTCTTAGTACTAAGGGGGTTCCTAATATGGGAATAATGCCTAGAAAAGCAATCGAGACCAGGGGGATGAAACCTGGAGCAAGGCCCAACTGAGCCTCCTGGAAAACAGGTTGGAAACTCCTGCAGGTGACAGTGCTCTAACCCTTCAAGGTCTCTCTTTACTCCCTCTTTCCAGTCTTGAGGGGCCCCTTAGGTTTCCCCACATGTTCTGATTCTCTCCCTGGGATCAGGTTCCTTCTCTGTTTGAATGGATTTTGCAAGGGAAATCCCTGCCTTTTCCCAAAGCCCCTGCACCTGTCACCTGCAGCGGATCTGGCCCCAGCACAAAGCCCCTCCCTCTTTGCCCTGCTGCCCTCAGTCTGCTCTTCTATCTGGAAAGACAGTCCCTCCCACTCCCTCAGGCTGGGGGAGTGAGGGACAACTACTCCCCTCATTTCAAACATTTCAGGATTCTTCACTCTGGTTCTTTCAATTTCAGGCCCTGTCTTCACAGAAAAAGCCTCACATGTCTTTACCCAGTCGTGGCACTGCCTGGACCATTCTTATGACCGCACCTGTGACTTCCATGGGGGGTGGGGGGCTTGTCCTCTCCTGCCCATATCCTGATTTCCTGCAAAGCCAGACCTATGAGTGTGGGAAGTCCAGGCAGCAAGCAGAGCAGCTTAGATGACCTTTGTCAAAAAGGCCTTTTATCTTTTAAAAATACATTTAAGTCACCCAACTTGATGCACACCTGTAGTCCCAACTACTCAAGAGGTTGAAGCACTAGGATCACTTGAATTCAGGATTTTGAGGCTAGCCTGGGTAACACAGTGAGACCGTCTCAAAGAAGAACAAAAAACAAAAAAGATTTATGTATGTTGACAAAGAAAAATATGTAAATAATAGTAGAGTAGGTATGGAGAAAATCAGGGAAGTCACATAAATACCGTTTAGGAAACTGGCTTTAGGTTCCTAGGCTAAGATGGGTGAAGGACTCACCAGGCAATGGCCCCCAGGGTGGGCAGTGGAAGGGCAAGGATGCCCCCTGCTGGGCACACTGGGGTGGCATGGGGAGGTGACTCCTGGGGAAAAGGGTGTGGGCTCAGGAAAGACAACTCTCAGGGAAGTTGATCTTCAGAGAAGTTGCTGGAAGATCTGTGTCATTTGTGATCCCCAGAGACACACATGCTGCAGCGCTTGGGAGCTTCGGGCCACAGAAGACCATAAGAACTGATATTCAACTGCTGCCTCCCAGGAACAGGTCCCAAGTTCTCCTTTTCACTTGTTAGTGTTGTGTGAAGACGCTGGGCTATGGTTTCTCAACTTGTTTAACAGAGAAGTTTAGTTATAGAAATTGAACTCAGATCTCCAGGTACCTCGGTTACCAGCCAAACAAAGGAAGAGTCCCATTAGGTTATTTTCCTCCTTGATACCACAATTGGCCTGAGGACAGTGGGATTCCAGAGCCTGCTGTGTGTGTGCCCAGGCCATGGCTAGCTTCTCTTTTGGGATTCAGATGGCTTAGTTGCTACATCCTCTGGGGTCTGTTTCCCAGTTACACTCACACTCTAAGGACCCAGCCATTACCAGCTGGTTTATCTTGTGATACTGAATCTTTCTACACCCTGTCTTTATCATCTGCAAAACGGAGTTAATAATGCCTCCTGAGGGAGTTGAAAAGATTAAATAACATAAGAAATACAAAGTATTTAACAGTGCCTACATATTATTATTATTATTATTATTATTATTTTGAATATTTGTTTACTGATATATATTTTAAGGGATACCAGGGATTGAACCCAGGGGCACTTAACCACTGAATCACATCCCCAGCTCTTTTTATTTTACTTATTTTTTTTATTTTGAGATATGGTCTTACTAAATTGCTTAGGACCTTGCTAAATAGCTAAGGCTGGCTTTGAACTTGCAATCCTCCTGTCTCAGCCTCCTGAGTCGCTGGGATTACAGATGTGCAGCACTGCACCCAGTTTGTTTATTCTATATTTATTAGCAGACACTGGCAGAAGAGGCGCAGTTTCTTACTACTTCTTCCTCAGTATATAGTCAGTCCTCCAAATCTGTAGATTTTGCATCTGTGGATTCAACCAACCACAGACAAAAATAACATTGTGGAAAAAATTGCATCTGAACTAAACATGTACAGACTTGTTTTCCTTGTCATTATTCCCCAAACAATACAGTATAATGACTATTTACATGGCACTTATGTTGTTTTAGGCCTCATCAGTAATCTAGAGATGACTTAAAGCACATGGGAGGATATGTCAGGTTATGTGCAAATATATAAGGATCTTGGGCATCTCTGGATTTTGGTATCCACAGTGGGGCCTGGAGCCAATACCCCACAGATACTAAGAGGCAATTATTTTTATATATTTATTTTTGTGGTGTGGGGGATCAAACCTAGGGCCTCATGAATGCTAGGCAAGTGCTCTACCACTGAGCTACATCCCCAGCCATGGGGCAACTTAATATATGCTGTTCTTTCTCCAAGTGTCTTCACTGAATTGTTCTTTGATTTTGCTTTTCTCCTACTAGAAGTTGTATGGATCAGGGATTAGACTCACCTTCCTATGGCAGGCTGTCAGGGATGCTCCCAGCTATAGACTTGAAGCCAACTGTCCCCAATCAGCATGAGATCATAAGCAGCTTCCCACTAGCTTCACACCATCTCAGCCTCCATAGCTAAGGAAAGGATGGAGCTGGTCATTGGTATGTCCAACTGGGGATCCCAGTGCCCTCTGCAATGCTGAGAGCTGAGAGTGAGTGCAGGCAGGGACAAGGCTGGGTAGCAGGCACAGTGGGCCTGATCCCTCAGGCAGGAGAGAACCCCACTAGGAGCACCCCTGGAACCATATGGAACTTCAAAGTGGAGGAGAATCAGTCCTGTGTTTATTTCCCTTGCAGTGCCATTTTGGATCCAAAATACCTGGAGGTGTAGCTGAGTGACCACTGAATACCATCCTCAAGATACCCAGACTGTAGTCTCAACTGGAGCTAAGGTTTACTGTGTGATCTTGGCAAAGTGCCTATGCTCTCTGATCTGATAAACTTTTCATCAATTTCAAGATATTTCTGGCTCTTAATATCTCTCTCCAACCTGCAGGGCCAAGCTTGTCACCTTTATTTCCTCCCTTTCCTCTGAAAGATGACCAACATAGAGATGAGAGTTGTAGAGGCAGGAAGGGCATGACACCTAACCCAGCATGGGTTCTTGGACATAATCACTTATCTTTTCTGCCTGTTGGAAATGAATTAGATGATGTCTTTCTTAAGGTGGGCACAGTTCATAGCACATAGGAAATGTCCTCAGTATCGATCAACTGCTTCTGTCCTTATTCCTGTCTTGGTCCACCTTTCCATCTGGACCTGGGAAAAGCCTCAGAGGATAAGCCCCTTGACTTTGTGTATAATAGGAAGCAATGAGGACAGGAATATGTCAGGAGATAGACTCAAGACCAAAAGTAGCAACAGCCCAGACCTCCTAGGTAAAGTGAAAGAGTTTCACTGAGAGATCTGGGCTTGGCTCCAAGGCACCGACTGTACAAGGACAGGGTGGAGAAGTGGCGGCTTAGCGAAAGCATGTGTGAATAAAACTGAGGGTTTTTGCTGTCAGCCAGCTCCATCTGAGTCAAATGACAAAGCTGCCAATAAAAGCAGACAGACTCCCAGGTTGCTGGATTGAAGTGAATACCAAGCTAGTGATTCTTCATCTTAATATCACTTCATAATCACCTGCAAAGCTCAGTAACACTGCTTATGCCTTGCTGCTCCTGAACCCTCCAAACTGGGATTTGGAATGAGGGTAGGAAAAGGGAAAGAAGAATCCTTAGTCTGGATTTCTATAGATCTTCACCCCAGGTGCCAGGTGCAGCCAGCCCTCTAGAACCAAGGAAAACTCAGTCCCATTTTCGTTCTCAGCCTGCAGACCACACCTGAAAGTTCTGTTTAGGTTGCCTTACTTCAGTAAGCACATAAACTGGACATTTGAT